TCAAATCTTATCTTTTTACTCTGTGACTTGGAGAAATTAATCCAGAAAGGATTCCCATTAGTTGAATTGGAGTATTTACCCAGTTTTCAGAAGCTGAGTGTTAAGAAAAGCAGTTAGATATTATTCTGTCTTTCCCCAGCTCAATAGGTCTCTGATTATCATTGCATTTAACCAGTTACAAGTTTTCTCTAATTTATTATCAGCCTATGGCAGGCATCAAGGTCACATGTTTCAGAACTAGTCCCATGTTCTCCCAACTAACATTTTTAGGATAACACATCACAGGCTCAGTATTTAGGAGTTTAAGAGCTTTCAGTCCCCCAAAATATGTATAATTACTCAAACACAAAGATGAGAAAATAACCATATATAGATTTGGAGAAAAATATAGTCCTGAAAAAAATTTGTATTTAAAGTTACAAAATGAAGCTGTAAATTCCAAATTACTATCTACTGAATAAATAGTAATTTAATAGAAAGGAGGGAACTCTGGTTATGTATTGGGTAATGAGTTGTGCTGCCAACCTGAAGGTAAGTGGTTCAAATTCACCAGCCACTTCATAAAGAAAGATGAGTAATCTTTCTCCTATGTGATTTATCGCCTCTGAAAAACCACTGGAAGGCCAACTATAAGTGTATTCTGTCTTGGTGGCACCTAACAAGAACATCCATTTAATAAAATGTTAGAACTTTATATCAAAGTAATTAAATGTTAAATTTAAGATCATACAAAAATAATTTAAATGCATTTATAGACTTTTCTCACTTTATAAGCATTTCCAGATACCTACAACAAACAGGTCTGTCTTGAAGAGTGAAAACAAGCTGATCCTCGGAGTCAAGGACTTTGAAGCTCTGTCTCACATACTTTGGGTACGTAGGTAGGGTGAGGGACAGTACAAGAGAGAAAGAGCCTGGATGAGATGAATTGATACAGTAACTGGGGTTATGGGGGTAGGTATGTTGGAGACAGTGAGACTGGCTCAGGATATGGCAGGGTTCAGAGCTATTGTACACAGAGTTGCTATAAGTCACAGGTGACTCAATGGCCCATAACAACAAACAATAACAACAACAACAACCTAATCAGTGTCAATTGTAATATAAATTAGGACTGCCAAGAAAACAAACAGATTCATCCTGGAGAGTGTTAAGCCAGGCTGCTCCTTGGAGGCAAGAATTCTGGGGCTCCGTCTGACATACTTTGGACATGTAAGGAGAGACAGGTCCTTGGAGAGGGACATCATGCTTGGTAGGGTGGAGGGACAGCGCAGGAAGGAAGACCCTCTATGAGGTGGATTGATTCAGTGACTGGGGTAATCGGGATGGGTGTGTCAGAGGCAATGTGATTGGCACAGGATAGAGCAGGGTTTAGGGCTGTTGTACATAGGGTCGCTATGAGTCGCAAACAACTCGACGGCACATAGCAACAACAACAACCAGGTCAAATAAACCCCAACGTAAAATTTTAAGTATCCCTTTAAATGTAACTTTTATAGCAAATCTCCCATCCCCCAATCTCCAAACAAACAAATAATGAGGAGTAGGGATGAATTAGTGTTTGATATGTTTGGTGATGCCTCATACCAATTAAAGGTCTACCAAAACTAAACTCAAACCCTTAAGTCTGTTCAGATTTTCCAGTGGTTTCTGAGGTTACAAAATTCTTCACAGAAGACTACTCATCTCTTTTCCCACAGAATCAGCTGATGATGTGAACCACTGACTTTTTTGATTAATGCTACAAGCTACGGACAGTGCACCCACCATAGCTCCTTATTGAAGATCTACAGAGACTTATAAAAGAGATCCTAAAAAGCAGTGCTACATATTTGGAAAGATGCCCAACATTTAAGATTATCTGAGTTTTACAGTTAGGAAAATCAAAGACTTCCCAAATAGCCAAATCCAGTTTATTAAATCTAGAGTGCCCACCTTTTTGTGACTTTCCATCAAAGCTTAACTTCTGATTGGTGACCTTTGACCTACTTTGGCAAAGGAAGTTTCCATGAGAGATCTACTGTTTCCTCTGCTAAAAATCCTTTGTAGATTCGGCAGTTGTTGCATTGAAGAGCACTAATCTGAGGTGCCATAAATACCTAACTCATTGGGGTTGGGAGAAGTAACAAAAACACCAGAGATTGCAACTATAAACATCTATCTTCTGGGGAGCTCTGGTGGCCTAGTGACAAGAAGCTGCAACTGCAATCTCAGAGATGCACGGTTCGAATCCACTGCTGGAGAAGGAGGAACAATCTCCTCCTGTACCAGTCAGATCTGATTTGATGGTACACACACAAAAATAATGAAATAAAATAAATTTAAAAAAACCCCCAAAACCCATCTATCTTCTATGGGCCAGAAACACTGTTCTAACAATGATTTTATTACATTATTTCCAAACTCTGTAAAGGAAGAACTGAAGCTTAAGCAAAGCAGAAACACATATTCAACCAAAAGAACAATTACTGAGAAGGAAATATGAGCAGATAGCCAACAAAACTTAACCCATTATTATAGAATGATTATAGATTATGGCAACCCTCCACTGGGCTTCTGAGGCTATAAATCTTCCTAAGAGATTGCCAATCTGTCTCCTGGGAAGTGGGTAGTGGCTTTGAACCACCAACTTTTTGGTTAGCAGCACAACACACAATACAATATGCCACCAGGGAAACTAGAGTACTGAAAATGGAACAAATAGAACATAAAAAGAATGCTGACACTGTGATAAAGAAAATGAAAGTTAATGAATAATTTGTAGGGAAACTATGAAATCATAATACTTGTATAAACTTCTACCCAAAACTTAGATCTCCAACCAACATCCATGGTAAAATCTGCTGTTAGGAGCCTTTCCAAAATGTTTCAGAGTTGTGGCTATTGTTAGGTGTTAAGTTCAGCATGACTCACAGTGACACTATGGACAAAATATCTGAACCCTATTCTATTTTGTGCCATCCTCACACTTGCTGACACACAAGAGCCCATCACAGCAGCCACCATGTCAATCAACCTGGTTGAGGGTCTTCCTCTCCTTTGCTGACCTTCCACTCTTCCCATCACCATGCCCTTCTCCAAGGAATAGCACTTCCTAGCAATATGTCCAAAGTATGTGAGGCAAAGCCTCATTATTCTTGCCTCCAAAGAGCACTCTGGCTGTACTCTCTCCAAGACATATCTGTTTCTTCTCCTGGCTGTCCATAGGATGTTCAGTGCTCTTTTCCAGCACCACAGCTCAAAGGTGACAATTCTTCTTCTGTCATCTTTATTCATTGTCTAGGTCTCAGATACATAGCTAGTAATCGTAGACTATGGCCTGAATCAGACATGCCTTAGTCTTCATAGTCCTCAAACTGACATCATTACTTCTCAATAATTTGGAAAGGTCCCTAACTGCAGATTTTCCCAGCACAATGTGTCTCCTTATTTTGTGATTGCTGATACTAAGGGTGTTAATTGTGGATCCAAGAAAGAGGAAGCTGTTAACAGTTTCAATCTCCTTTCCATCCATCATGACATTGCCGATTGGTCCAGTGGTAAGAATACAAACTGAAGGCTGCATTCCTTGATCTTCTGCAAGAAGTGCTTCAAGTCCTCCTCACTTTCAGCAAGCAAGGTTGTGTCATTTGTGTTATTGATGAGTCTTCCTCCAATTTTGAAGCCACATTTCTCCTCATAGAGTTCAGCTTCTCGGATAATTTGCTCAGCATACAGACTGAATAGGTATGGAGAGAAAATACAACCCTTATACACTCCCTTCTCAATTTTAAACCATGTGTAATATTAAAGACTAAAGTATGCCCAATCCAAGCTGTGGTATTTTCAATTGCTTCCTATACATCTGAAAGTTGATCAATGAATAAGGATGAGAGAAGAATTGATGTCTTTCTTTTTCTTTTTCTTCCTTTTTTTTGACCTTCAACCAATTTTAATGAACATTTACAGAGATTTTGGATTTCCATTCATTCATTGTTGCACTTTTCTCCCTGCCCAGCTCTCCCTCCGACCAGTTCCCTTCTTTCTTTGAAAAGCTTAAGAAAAATTCTCTCATTGGTATACAATCCCCCCACACTCCTACCACCACCCTGAGTACACCCCACTATGTAACCTTAATTCTGAGGGAAAGAACTGTTTAAAAGCGATATATGATAGGGTATTATGGTTATCACAAGAATTGATGTCTTTGAATTGTGGTGTTGATGAAGAGTATTAAATATCACCTTGACTGTCTGAACAAAAAAGTCTGTCTTTGAGGAAGTGCAACCAGGATACTCTTTAGAGGCAAAGATAGTGAAACTTAGTGTCACATACTTTGGATATATTGTTGGGAGGAGCCAGGTGTTGAGAAAAGACGTTTTGCTGGGAAAGGTCATGGAAAGAGATGATCCTCAACAAGTTATTGTAACCATGGGCTCCAGCATGTTGGAGATGAGGATCGTGCCAGATAAGGTAAGGTTAGGATCTGTTGTTCACAGCGTCGCTATGAATGGTTGTCAACTTGGCAGCACCTAACAATAAAAACAATAACAAGTCCCACAAGAACGCAAACCAATCACTTGCAGAGGGAGTACACAGCTGCAAAGACACCAGCATCTCCACTCACGTCTCCGCCCTCTGGGGGCTCGTCCTGGAGCCACGCCCCGGCGCGTGCACTCGCGCTCTCGCCACGCCCCCAGAGCCGCTGAGGCCGCAGGTCCTGCAGAGGAAGGAGGCGCGCTCCTCTGACGCCTCGGCGCGTGGCCTCTGACGTCTCCCAAGCCCCGCCCCGTCATCCTTCTTTTTAGGCGGGCTCTTGCTCCGCCGGCCCCGCCCCGGCCCCCTCCTGTCCGCGCGCTGTGCCCGCCCCTCCGTTAGCTTGAGCCGATTCAGCGGTTGCAGCGGCCGCAGCGGCCGCGGGCTTGTTGTCGCGGCTGGTAGTGGGATCAGGCGTCCGGAGCTCCAGCTCTCCGTCCAGGTCGTGGTGGGCGCGGCCAAGCCCTGACTGGTTGGCTGAAGGCGTCAGAGCCTCTGGAGCCCACGGCGGGCGATGGTGTGCCCGTGCGGGCGGCTACCGGCGGCGGGGCGGCGGGCATGAAGGAGAATGGAAGGGGAGGACGAGGTGTCCCTGCGGGAGCAGCATTTCCACAGCCAAGTGCGGGAGTCCACGGTGAGTGGGACGCCGGTCTCCCGACGACGTCCGCGGCCCTCTTCCTGGGCTGGCGGCGGTGACAGCTCGCTCCTCGAAGCTCCCGCACGGTGCGGCCCGCGCCCCCAGGCCCCGCGGCGCCCGGCCCTACCTCCCGCTCGGGTCCTCGGCTCGCGCCCCTGCACCCCCGCTCCCCGCTCTTGTGGCGCGAGAGCCGAGCGTGGCCCCTCCCTCGCCATCTCCTTGACACCTGCGCCTGTGCCCAGCGTGCACTTTCTCCGACTCCCTGCAGCCTCACCTCTCCCTGCCGCCACTCCATCCTTGGCACTCCTAGAGTGTTGGGTTTGGTGAGCGTGGTCATTTGGCCATGCCACCTGCCCATTCCACAGTAAAGTGCTGGGTGGCTCACTTGGTTTCCCTCGCCATCCTGACGCCACTTTTATCTTTGATCGTCTTAGCAGGTATATAGTGACCTCAGCTGGATCTTGTTCTCATGCTCAATTGCTTGGCAAAATAGCTGTTAATAATATTTGGCTCTCCTTATAGGAATAACTGATATTGAGTACTTGCTAGGTGCCAGGGTCTGGAGTCAACGCCGTGTATCCGAGCATTTCTGACTTCTCAGTTTTGGAAGCACGTATTTGAAACTCAATTCGTTACAGTTGTCAAAGTTAACACCCTCCTTTGCTCGCCACAGGCATTTTTAATCCCTTGTCTATCTCTTTCCAATTTTTATGGCATTGGAGAGCTTTCTGTTTTGAGGTGAGAGGATTGGTTATTTATGAGATTTAGGACCTTAGTTAAAGTTCATTTTGCTCCTTAAGTAACTTACAGATCGCTTTTGTTCCAACTGTTACCTTTGCTGCATGCAGGGTTCAGAAAATGAACATGACATTGGAAAGTCCAGTTTTAATCTTTTGATGATATTCTTGAATATTTTAATTGTATTTATTTTTATTCCCATAATTGTACACGTTATCTAAATTTTACTTGTTTATATTTACCACTCCCCTTTTCCAGCTAACGGGTAGAGTAGTCCGTAGAGTTTCACTACTAATCTAAAGGTGGTGTTTCTCTGGAGGTTCAAATCCACAGCAGCTCCGTGCAGTTCATTTACAGTCTCAGAAACCCCCTGTCAGTTGAGAGTCAGTTCTGATACAATGGCAATATGATTTCTTCAACCTAAGTTCAGATTTATTGGCATTTGGTGTTGGTGAAGAAAAAAAATTGATTTAGAAACGCTTAACATAGTTATCGGTCTTGAAAATGGAGAATTGCTTTACCAAGATCTACTTGAAGCATGTTTAATTTAAAGAAAAAAATTTTAAATTGAAGCTAAAATAAACACAGGAAAGTGCATCATAAGTATATAGCTCGTCTAGAGTTCAAACTTATGTGTACCGCAGAACCCAGATTATAATCATTTTAGAGGCCCACCTCTACCTTCTGCAGTTATTTGGCTTCTAACATTTTTGTTTAGTTTTGAACTTTTAATAAATGGAATGTTACCGCTTGTACTGTAATGCATCTGGTTTCTTTGACTTAATAATCTGAGAGTCTCCCGTGCTGTGTACATTGTTAGGTGTCATTTAGTTAACTATGACTCACAGTAACCCTATGAAAAATGAATCTGTGCCATCCTCGTAATTTCTGATATACTGGAGCCTGTTGTTGCAGTTATTGTGTTGATCCATCTAAATTAGGATCTTTGTCTCATTCACTGACCCCTGATTTTAGAAGTATGATGTTGTGTATAGTTGTAATTTATTCTAACTATTGTATAGCTGTGATATAAATTAGTTTTTCATTTTTTCTGTTAATGGACTCTTGAGTGGTTTCCAGTTTTTTACTATGAATGTTCTTGTCTGTATTTAGGGAACATATGTATGCGTTTCTGTTGAGTACTCACGGAATGAAATCACTAGGCCATAGGCTATATATTTTTCCATTGTTACTGTTAATTGTCATTGAATCAATTCCACCTATGATTCATAATTTTGCTTCTTGTTGGCTCCGCTATAAGTGTGGACAGATTTGAAACACATAAAAATATTCAGGCTGAAATATCTGAATTAATTCCACCTGTGGTGACCTAAAGTGTGTAGGTTTTCAAAGCTGTAACCTTTTGGAAGCAGGTTAGTAGATATCTCTTCTTCAGTGTTGCAGAATGGTTTCCTGAAGCCAGCCTTTCAATTAGTAGTGTAGCGCTTAACCATTTTCCACCTGAAGAGTCTGTGTGTCAGTATACTTTCGCAGGAACATGGTATTGGATGTGAATTGTTACCTAACTTTGCAAATACTTGGTATTCTGCTCTTTTGAATCTTTATATATTTTGAGATGTGTAACAGTTAATTGTGCTTATGCAAAACCTATACTTGGACCAGGAGGCAGTCATCAGAACAGAGCAAGGAGACACTGCATGGTTCAAAATTGGGAAGAGTGTGTGCCAGGGATATATCCTGTCTCCATACCATTTAAATCTATATGCAGAACAGATCATCTGGGAGCTTGAGCCCCATGAGGAGAAATGTGGCATCAGGATTGGATAAAGATTCATCAACAACCTGCACTATGTAGATGACACAACTCTGCTTGCTGATACTGAGGATGACCTGAAGTGCTTGTTGCGGAGATCAAGGACTTGTAGCCTTCAATATAAATTGAAGCTTAACATCAAGAAAACAAAAGATTCTCACCACTGGGCTAATTGGTAGTATCATGATTGATAGTGATGAGATTGAGATTGTTAACAGTGTTAGTTTGCTTGGCTCCACAATCAATACTCTTGGTACCAGTAGCCAGGAAATCAAGAGATGAATTGTATTGGGAAAGTTGGCTGTCAGAGACCTCTCCAGAGTAGAACAACAGAGTCAGTCTGGAGATTAAGGTGCGTGTGCTCTAGGCCATACTCTTTGCAATTATTTGCTATGCTTCAGAGAGCTGGATGATGACTAGGAATGATAGAGAATTGATGCTTTTGAACTGTGGTGCTGGAGAAGAGTTTTGAATATACAGTGGACTGCCAGTAGAAAAAACAGGTTTGTCCTAAAGAGGTTGAAGCTGGCCTGCACCTTGGAGGCAAGGATTCTGAAGCTTCGTCTGACATACTTTGGACATGTTGCAAGGAGGGACCAGTCCTTGGAGAGAGACATTTTGCTTCGAAGGGTGGAGGGATGGAGAAAGACAGGGAGACCATCGATGAGATGGATTGATGAAGTAATTAGGGTAGGTGTGTTGGAGACAATAAAGTTGACACAGGTTAGAGCAAGTTTCAAGGATGTTGTATATAGGGTTGCTAAGAGTTGCAAACGACTTGCAGGCACACAACAACAACAACAGCTACAACAGTGGTATTGCAGAAGGCTTTAAATTTGCATGATGGATAATGAATTTGAATAATTTTTCATTTATTTATTGACCATTGGCATACTTGTTTTGTGAAGTATTTTCAAGTATTTTTCCTAGTTTTGATTGGTTAGTTTCATGTTGATTAGCAAGATTTAAAAAAATATACACTTAATATGATTTCCTTGTCATATATATGTATTGCAAACATTTTTTTCTACTCTCTGGATGCCTTATTACTCTCTTTTAAATTTTTGAAATTAAAAAAATATTATAGTGCAATATGTATATAACAAAGCTTTCCATTTGAAGACTTTTAACTATATGTTTCAGTGACATTAATTACATATATCATGCTGTGCCGACTTCACTCACTGCTATCTGCTCCCAGAACTTCTTGTTATTAACTACCCACTTCCCCCTCCTCAGGTCCTGGTAACCACTAGTCAATTTTCCATCTATATGTATTTGCCTATTTAGATATTTCATGTAGGTAGAATCATACATTTGACCTTTTATATCTTACTAATTTAACTAAGATTTATTAGCTATCAAGGAATTACAAATTAAAGCCCTTTGCCACACCACTATACACCTGGAAATATGAAAAAATTCAAAAGAACAGAATACCAAGTGTTTGCAAGGTTAGGTAGCAACTGAATTCTAATGCTGTGTTTCTGGGAACATAAATTATTGAGGAACAATGATACTTGTTTAAGGCCTAAGGTATGATTGATTCAGGCCATGCTCTTTTCAATCCCTTGCTATGCATCTGAATGCTGGACAATGAATAAGGATGACAGAAGAAGAATTGATTCCTCTGTACTGTAGTGTTGGAGAGGAATGCTGAATATCCCAAAGACTGTCAAAAGAACAAATAGATAGGTCTTGAAGAAAGTGCAGACAGAGTGCTCCTTGGAGGCAAAGATAAAGTGCAGACAGAGTGCTCCTTGGAGGCAAAGATGATAAAACTTCATCTCACATACTTTGGGCTTGTTGCTAGGAGAGGCTATTCATTGGAGAGGAACATCATGCTATGGAAGGTGGAGGGATGGTGAAAGAGAGGAAAACCTTCAACCAGGTGGATGGACATGGCAATGAACTTAAGTGTGTAAGAGATTGTGAGGATGGCACAGGATAAGACAGAGTTCAGATCTGTTGTTCATAGAATCACTATGAGTCATACTTGACTCCATGGCACCTAACAACAACCAACACCATAATTTCCCTAAGGGAGCTTTGGTGGCTCAGTGGTAAGGAGTAGCGCTGCCACCTCAAAGGTGTGTGATTCAAATCCTTGGGAGAAAGATGGGCCGTCTCCTCCTGTGTGACTTATTGCCTCTGAAAATCTGTTGGAGGGTCAGCTATGAGTCAGTTCTGACTCAGTGGTACACAACAACAACAACAAAAATGTCACTAAACAAAATATTTTCAAGGTTTATACGGGACACAGAATAAATCAGAATTTCATTTCTCTTTATAACTGAATACTATTACATGGCATACAGGTGACTATGTTTTGTTTTTCATGTCATCTGTTAATGGATAGATGCTTGAATGGTTTCAAATGACTTCACTAGAATTAGTTTCTCCAGTACAGTAATTGATGGTATCAACGTTCTCCTTCCACCACTTTCCTATAGACTTTCTCCTGTAGAGACCATATCATGCCTAT